ATATTAGGTTGAACGGTCTCAGGATTCATGGGCAGGTGTGGTACATAAGGACTTGGCACAGATAGCGGAGCTGGCGCAACCTGAGCTTGCCAGTATCGGGCCCACCTTGCCTGTTCTTCTTGGGCTGCTGCCTGGAATGGAGGATACAGCTGAGGCATGGGCGCACCCCACTCCTGGCCAGCGAATGCGTTTTTGTGGACGTGGTGCACCCCACCCCTGACCAGCGAATGCGTTTTGTGGAGGTGGTGCACCCCACCCCTGACCAGCGAATGCGTTTTGTGGAGGTGGTGCACCCCACCCCTGGCCAGCGAATGTGTTTTGTGGAGGTGGCGCATTCCACCCCTGGCCAGCGAATGCGCTCTGTGGGGGTGGATAATTTGCCGTAAATGTCGCGTTTGCTGGAGGGGGTATCCTTGGCTGCGGCATATTGTTCGCATCAACTAGGGGCGGCATGTCAGCATATATGTCGTTCATGCTGGCCGCCGGTGCTCAGAGGATGCAAGGACGGTGTGAACAGGTGATAATATCGATAAAGCGACCTCCTGCCAGCTTGATAAATGTGAAGCAGTGTGCACTGCAGTGACAAATGAACGTGAACAATGATTGCTATAGATTCCTGTGCTGCCTTGTATTACCCGACCGTTAGCGATGCCAGAGAAGTACTTGCAAACCAGTGCAATGCAAACGCTGGTGACGGAAACTCACGAAGCCTTATTGAATGTGTATGTCGAGGTTATATGGGGAGACACATTTCCCACAAAGCAAAGCCAGCTAACAGGAAAAATGTGGCGTAGTTCCTGCTCATTCTGGGACAAGATGACCCCGTGACGTTGAGTTGACAAGTTGATAGTCAGGAACAGGTATTCAACTGATACGCCACTGCCGAGCTGCACGGACTTTGAAAATTATGATCCGAATCTTCTCTCGATGGTTTGAGCAGGCTGATTTGCTCCATGATCCCCAGGGTATAGTGAGTACCAGGTCTATCTCTTCTATTACGATCGGTGATGAATAAAGATAATGGCGACGATCCTGAGGAATTACAGAAACGAAAAGATTGGACACTCCGGGAGGAGGATGGTGCCCGATGGACCCATGATGTAGTTCATTGCACATCCAATATGTATGCAGTGATACGTGGCAGTCTAAGCCTCAGGTAAGTGTATAGTATTTGTCACTTGCCGCCTCCCTCACTAGCCTAGGACTAATTGCATGATCATGTGAGGTCTCAGATCTCAGGTGTGTCACTTCGAATCTCTCAAGAACGAACTTGATGAATCAGTCCGAGATGAGCGCCATCGTTTAGTTGACATTTCCTTCCTCACTTAGCCCATAGCTGGCGAATATCGCTCTCAGATACCATGGTAAATTTATCTTCTTCTTTTGACAACCCCGGTGACCAGTTATTTTTGCCAGGTATCAATCCATTCGGGCGTGTTTGAACCAACGGCCTCGGCCCCGAATATAATTTGTCATAGAATTGATTTCCTCTCTGCGGAACCTATTGTATTCTGTTTACAGAGTCAAGTAGGATGATGTCCTATCGTGCGACCATGTTACCCCAACATTAACACGAACACTGCCAAAGCGGGCCGCGTGCATCAACATGTCATGATTTTCCCGTTTAATGTGGTCTTAACTTTTGCTCGGTAAGGAAACTTCAGGTAGTGCAGTTAACAGACGATGACAATGACGAAGAGGAGGAGGAAGAGGAGGAAGCTACACCCTCTCCTACCTCTCAGAAGGCCCAGGGCGTAAGTCGCTTGTATAAGTAGGACAGCACATACTCATTTGGTCGTATGCGGCGCAAGCAAAGCGAGGGATGACATTCAGCCTGCTTTTGCAGGGACTAGTACCCTCGATTCTATCATGGATAGCAAAGAAGACGAACAGGAGGAAGAGGAGCTGGCCAACGATATATTGACTTCGGAGTAGAATTTTCGTCATCTACGAGAGTACAGTATCTATTATGATTTACATTTGTACCCCATACCGCTGTACTTCTACTGACATGACTGCTGCTTTCACAGTTTTGAGTAATTCCGCCAGATTGGATGATAATTATATACGAGAACTGCAGGGCCTGCAGCACGTATCCGTGGATATAATCCTTTGGCCCATCAGAGATACAAATGTATGTCAATGTCAGGCACGAAGTTAATGTTTGCATCATGAAAACAAATTGTGTTCGACACTTGCTTTGTTCTTACATTGTATAGACATAAAGTACACAACTACTTCTACCCGTAAGGCTTTCAACCGATTTGATATATCTTTCCAGGTTCCACAGCAAGAACCTCAGTTTTTCCATTGTCAGCCCTCAGCACATGGCACACCTGAAAATTGCTCCGTTTCCAGGTGCTGGACTTCTTTGACGCAATTTCATAAAATCCGGGTCCCCCACTGCTGTCGCCAGTGTTAGTGATGCTAACACTGATTTTCTCTGTGGTGTTGTTGACTATGGTGATTTCATTCATAGTGCCTGCTCGTGTTTCCAAAATGATTCTTAACACCCTTTATTATAGTTTATACTCTGAACGCACCTCCGATATCATATTTCTTTCCAGGCTCCACAACGAGAACCTCGGTATTTCCATTGTCGGCCCTCAACACATGGCACACCTGCAAATGGCTCCGTTTCCAGGTACTGGACTTCTTTGATGCAATTTCATAGAATCCGGGTCCCCCACTGCTCTCGCTAATCTCAGTGATGCTAACACTGATTTTCTCTCCGGTGTTGTTGACTATGGTGACTTCGTTCATATTGCCTGCTCCTATGTCCAGCATGATTATTATGAACCCCCTTCAATACTTGAACACACCTCGAGGGTAGAGTTTAGTAGAAAGATTCCGCACGAAACTTCAACACAGAAGTAATATGCCTAGAGAATGGGTCAGACGAATAGGGGATCAAGACTCGCTCAGAGTAATTGAAGGGGTGACGAGGGTGTGGTTATGAGCTTAGTAGTGGGTGAAAAGTAGAGTAGATTCTCTCGTATGTCCTCTGATGCATTCTTTTATCCAGTATTTATACTATCCTTCGCTAATAAAACATAACCGGTCCATTATATATTAAGCTCTGACATATCTAACGCTGCAGCTGACAATCATCTCGGACTCGGCAAACTCCCGTTTGCCGTCACGCACTCGTTATCTCAATCCTTCATGTCCACATAGTGTCATCCGATTCCAACAGAGGGGACGGACTTCCTAACTTCAAAACATCGTGTATTTATACTTGAACACGAATGACTGTCGACTCCCCAGCTCAGATATAAGAATTAATGTCCGATTATACAGCGGACTCCAGCCAAAGAGAAATTTTGGAAAGACGTTGACACAGGAATAAGTACCTCTTGTAGCACACCGCAACCCCCAATTGGTAATTCTGACGAGTCTGAATCCAGACGTTAGCTCAATGTTCGTATCACATCATATGACCCATAGTACAGAGTCAAGTTGAGAGTCAGGAACAGGGATTCAACTGATACGCCACTGCCCGAGCTGTAGCTGCACGGACTTTGAAAACGATCCGAATCTTCACACATTCTCTCAAGGCCCTGAATTTTGAGCAGGCTGGTTTGCTCCATGCTCCTGGAAACGTTGTCGACAAATGAAGCAGGGTATAGTGAGTACCAGATCTATATCAATTACCTTTTCAATAGTACCATGATTAGTGATGACTTGGAGGACATATGAAGATCATGGCGACGATCCCAAGGAATTACTACGGAAACAAAAAGATTGGACACGAGTCCAGGAGGAGGATAGCGCCCGATGAACCTGCGATGTAGTTCATTGCACATCCAATATGTATACAGTGATACGTGGCAGCCTAGGCCTCAGGTAAGTATATAGTAGCTGTCACTTGCTGCCTCCCCTAGGGACTAATTGCATGATCATGTGAGGTCTCAGATCTCAGGTGTGTCACTTCGAATCTCTCAAGAGCGAGAACTTGATGAATCAGTCCGAGATGAGCGCCATCATTTAGCTGACATTTCCTTCCTCACTTGGCCCATAGCTGGCGAATATCGCTCTCAGATACCATGGTAAATTTATCTTCTTCTTTTGACAACCCCGGTGACCAGTTATTTTTGCCAGATATCAATCCATTAGAGCGAACATTGTACGTTTGAACCAACGGCCTCGGCATCTATCATGAAATTCAGTTCCTCTCCGCGGAACCTACTTGACCACCCAGTTCGCCTCCGTATCATGCCCGCCGCTTCGATTCATATTTCTTTTTTTCGTACCTTCAGTCTTGGAGATTTTCTTCCGCAAATCAGTGTTTGCGACCAAGGACACCCATATCGTCTCGGTTCTTATGAGTGAGTCGGCTAACCGGATGCGTACCTTTATCTTCATTTATCAGCATCCAGCGCTTCTTCCCTCTCGAAGTTCCAAATCAACTGATTTAACACTTTGAAGGATATCGATTGAGAATACCCGTCACCACGACTGGACATCCTTTATTCTGTTTTTTGATCATGTCTTCGACCTTGTAATCCGAACCAGGTTGACAACCGAACTGAGCCTGGTATTCCGCGTCTTTGATTGATGGTCTTGAGCCGAGATGTCCTGAAATAGGTCGTTCCCAAGTAAGTTGCATACTAGTCTTCAAAACATACATCAAAATTCGACTGTTCTTCATGCCTGATTGCTGAGAATGCCAAATGCTTTCCAATCTGGCATTCGCGTTAGTTTTAAATTGCACGATCAGATAATCACAGTGCAGCTCACTTTTTCTGCTTGGCCTACATGTCGCTATAATGAGTATACGAGACGTGGCAGTCTCTGGGTGGACTCACTTTAAGGATAAGCAATCGGGTAGGTCATCGATGATCTAGATACTCGACATCTAGATGCTTAGATCTAGATCGAAGTCGCATTTTGAAACCGAGAGCCATCATGATCACCGATTAGATCAGGATGTAAGGTACGGTGGGGTACGGTCCACGGTTTTCAAATTGCTTCGTGCACATCAATTTAGGCTCACTACAACTACATTACATTTATTCTGAAGGTCCATATATACCAAGCATCGCTGAAATCCTCACTCCTCAACATCTGACTGAATAGGTGCACGATAACGTCTCCCCAGGCGTGCTATACGAGTATCATGATCTGGTATGTCCGAGTCGTCATCATTTCGTACAGACGTCCCTTGAAGTCGCAGAGACTTACGAGGTGCGTGTGGGAGTTCACCATCATTGTTTGGGCTTCCAGCGGATTTCTGAGACAACGACAAAGCACTGAGAGATTGAGAGAGCTGATCGCGATGAGGGGTCTCAGGCTCATCTAGTGCAGCGGACTCTACATCAGAGTGGGAATCGGGCTGTGCAGGCCCATGGACTAAGTGAAGTCCTGTCATCAGTGTTTAAAACACTCGGAAAGACTATCAGTACCTTCAGGTTCGGACCTGCGTCTGAGGCGTTTTGGCGGGGGCTGCTCAGCGGTGTCAGTTTCCTCGCCCGAGCTCGAATGGTAGGTTCTTCGACGGTTGTTTGAAGACGTGACCTTTGTTTTTCTTCCATCAAACAGGCGCTTTATTATAGTTTTGTTGTGCAATTCATCCAGAGGTATATCGTCATCTGGATCTGGGCCCGAGGTTTGAGAAATATTTGCACTCGCGTGAGAGGGTGGGAGGCCTTCCGCCTGTACAACAGACCGATCTGCATCACCATTCTCTGTGGACTCAGAGTCAGCGTGCTCTGCATCGTCGTGCCCATCACTGTCGTCATCCACCACGGGATCGTTGGTGCTATTGGCTGGTTCGAAATCACTACCATTCTCTTGGTAGATTGTCTCGTCATCATCAACTACAAAGTCATCGCGCTCGTAGTCATCGTCGGGCTCCACAGACCCGCGGCCATCGTTCTGTTTTCCAAGAAGTTGCCCTGTGGGATTTTCCACGTGCGCAGATGCTCTGGGGTGGTATGGCCGTCGGTGGGTCCGGAGATAAATCCTGTACCTCTGAACTAGGTCTTTGAACTTGTAATACTGGGTAAAGTGAACACCGAAAGTCAAATGCAGCTGGGAAACTTCGAACTCACCCAAAGGCATTTGCTATGCTCTGGTTTCAGACAAAATCTGATGAAACCAGGACGCTTGTACACATCATCGAGCCTATATCCATTATACTGCTTTCCAAATCATATTGTGACTGAACCTGGTGACTTCTAATCGTATACCTTGTCCAAGTAAAGACGATATGCCTCCGCCAGGTTTTGATGCTACGATTCCGAGTGATTGAAGCGCATACGGTGCTGATCACCGATCGACTTACCCAGTCATTACCAGACCGTGAAGGATGAATACCCCACCAGATGGTGTCTTCTGGTACATCGAGTCTTTTGTCTTTATGCTCTCCAAAGGGGAAGGGGTAGGCTTCAGGAGTTTGAAGGAGTAATTCTTCATATCGTTTATTGGCCTTTATGTAGGCAGGATACTGAATTTATTCTCAGTGTTAGCCGTAACTACTGTACGCAGTTCTGACCCAGGAGTTTTTTGCAAGGTGGGCTCGTGTTGCCCACCGCCTCAAGCCATTTGAGACAGAGTCGAGTCGCCTACCGGCAGATTGTCCACATGGGAATGGGTATGCTCTAGGATCGTCGTCGTGGTGAGAAAGTTCATTGCTGTTCACGACACCTTCACTGATATGCGCCATGGTCTCAGTGCTAGTAGTGATTCTGAATATTGAGTGACAGGCGAACACAGTACTGCACAGTAACTTGACGTTTCAACCCTGCGCACGTGATTCATCATTCATAGTGACTTTGCATGACTACTTATAACAACGACATAGGGTACTGCTCTGACCGATAACTCTTTCGAGCATTCTCGGACTCCCAGAGCTGGTACTGCATACGTGTTGCCAAGATTGCATGCATCATTATTTGAGGGCTGTTAATTGCAACGGAGTCAGCATTTACGATGAGCACTCGGAGGTCGTTGCGCACTTAAAGAAGACTGTAGCATATTCGTACTATGCATATAAGTAGAATGTCAGCTCGTGTGAAGCCTGGCGGCAAACTGGCCAAACTGACTTCGAACAGCGCTACACACAGGACATTGATAATGCTGAAGACTAGAAGGAAAGAGTTTATTGCGCTGTCATAGAAGTAGAATACACGCACGAAATCCACAACCATAGTAGAACATATGGTGCGTGAGGAGAAGTGTAAGGAGTGGTCTTGGTGTCGATCTGTAATTCTTCACAGCCCTTACAGTGGTAGAAATAACAAGGACTGGAGATGGAAGTCAGAACTCCGAAAAAAATTATGACAAAACGTCTTCATACCAAATTCTAATATCAGGAGCGCCAGGAACGCCACCAATAGCCGTTGCGCTTTTGCAACTTGCAATGTTTTGCATGTCGGAACATCAGGTACAAATACGTACTGCCCCGGGACAAAGCTGAAAATGATTAGCCCAGTAACTGTTATACCCTGTTATCGCCGGTTCCCTGAGTAAAACTTAGCAGGTGATTTGATAAAGGATGCACACAGCTACGATCATGAACATAATCCGACGCAGAAGGTGTTTCACCTCCCACATAGCGCAGGTTCGGAGTACGAAGATGGCTAACGAACGGTGAGAAATTAGTGAAAGTTCAAGTGAATCTAGTGACAGAGGTCACAAACATTCCGCGCAGAATGCTGCTATCAGGCCGAAGGCTAGATAGTTGTCAGCACAACGTCAAGATCAGTTATAATTGAAGCCCTGCCTGTT